GTCTGAGCAGAGCTACAAACAGCTCTTCGGGACTCTGAAAATAGACAGCATAACCTACATTACTCATTGACTCAGTGTCATGGCAATGAATATATCAGTGAGGAAGATCACGTGGCTGCCATATTTAAACAACTTCCATTGCTACGCTGCACTTACTTCTTTGGTTTCATAAATCTCCTTGCTGTTGATAATATTGTAGGCCTGTAAGTGACCTTTCTCACGGGCAAGGTCAGCGGGAGTCTTGCTGCTGAAGGTGAGAGCTGTGGGCAGAGCGCCTCGCTCCAAAAGGATCTTGATGTTGGCGAGGTCGTTCTGCTCGGCCGCCGCGTGAAGGAGCGTCCGCCCTTGCCGGTCTTGGGAATGGATCTCGAACAGACCGGAGTCAATGTTGCTTGCCAGTCTGCTTGCGTTCTTCCCCTGGTCGGTGCTCTTTGTTTCCAAGCTGATTTCGACACCCATGTTGATAGTCTCTTTGCAGAATTCCTGTATGGCATTTTAAATAGTTAGCGGTTTACAACAATTTTATGATAGAAAACGGTATGGAATTATATAACCGTTATTACACACACACTCACACACACACATATATGTACACACACATATGTGTGTGTACGTATATATGTATAAATAAACACACGAGTATGTATATGTATATATATACACATACGAGTATGTATATATGTATAAATGTATATATATGTATAAATGTATATATATGTGTGTGTGTGTGTGTACATATATATAAAAATATATATGTATATATTGCCACGAGGGAAGCGTAATCTTATGATGAAAATGACAACCAAGGCTGTGATGAAAATCTTTCAAGGACGACCGTCTTCATCTTCAGTACAACAAAGAACGAACAAAATGAATACATTAGAACCAAACTACCAGGAAAAAAAAAACAATTCAAAATTGTAAAATTCATTTTAGTAAACCTAAGAGAAAAATAAACGAAACAGCAAGGGAAAACGAAGAGACAAGTAAAACACACCATAACGAACTGAGCAGGTTGATACGGTCACACGACTACGCCGTAAATAGCTGTGTCGCTGTTGTGTTACTGCTTAGTTCTGATCTCATCTTATGAATAAACAAAGATTCAGAGATTAGGAGGTCGAGTCTGTTGGCAGATTTGGACAGAATTTGAAAATATATATATATATATATATATATATATATATATATATATATATATATGATATATGATATATGATATATATATATATTTATATATGTATATATATATATATATATATATATATATATATATATATAAGCATATATATACACATATATATGCTTTTAATATATATATATGCATCTATATTCATATGTGTATATATATATATATATGTGTGTGTGTGTGTGTGTGTGTGTGTGTGTGTGTGTGTAAAAGGAAAACTGCCACAGTAATAAATGAAATTAAACAGTAACGTTTCGAACTCTTCACGAATTCCTCTTCAGACGAAGCCAAAAATGGATACAAGGAGAGAATTTTGACAAGAATATATAGTGTTTGACAGACAGAACGAACAGGAGCTGAATCAGGTCTCAGGAGGAGGTCAAGGTCGAAGTGTCTAGGGAAGGCTTTGCTAACTAACGAGGAGGTAAGGTCATCCAAGCCCCAATGACCAGCACTCAAGTTAGAATTAGGTATTTTACTAATAAACAGAGATTCTAACATTTTCCTTTCATACGAATTAGCTGATTTGTGAATCAATTTAGCATTTTTTCCAGTTAAGCTGGTGACCTTCATCACGCAAATGAACGAAACACGCATTTGAATCTCTGGCATATCTAACATCCCGTTTATGTTCATTGATTCTTTTTTCAAAAGCTCTACCGGTCTCACCTATGTAAAACTTGGGGCAATCCTTACAGGGTATAGTATAAATATCGGGAAAAGTCCCAAAAGCACCGCTAGTCACATTGTGTTTAACCCAAGTCTTGCGCAATGTGTTTGGATATGTAAACACAATGTCAATTCCAACGCCTTTAAACATGTGACGTTTCTCATCGAGGGACGGGTTATACGGAATAATTAGTAGATTGTTGTCACTGTCCTGTTGAGTATTACGAGAATGAGAATAAAACTTCCATCTCGCGGATGAATGGGCCTGATTTAAGAAAAAGCGCGGATATCCTAATCTCGAAAATGTTTCAAATATGACGTCAATTTCACGATCGGTAAATTCTGTATCACAAATTCTATATGCCGTTAGATACATGGACGAGATTACTGACTTCTTAACACACAACGGGTGATTCGAGAAAATGAAGATAATTAGCGATATGAGTAGGTTTACGGTAAACCGAAAATTTAAGCGAGCCATTTACATTGAATAAAAGGACGTCGAGAAAAGGTAATTTACCTGAATCTTCCCATTCTACTTTAAAATTAATAGTACGCGCGAGATTGTTGAGTTTACCGAAAAAATCATCGAAGTCTGATCGGTTCACTTGCCATAGAGAAAAATATCAACATAACGAAACCAAATCGTGTCTGGGGGGAGAATCGACGGAAGGAGTTCAGATTCGAACATCTCCAAATATAAATTCGCAAGGACCGGGCTTAAGCTACTTCCCATCGTGATACCGTTGATTTGTTTTTAAAATCGCCGTCAAAAATAAAGACATTGTTCGTGACACACAAACGGATGAGCTCGATAAAGCAACTGACCGGAATAGGGATCTCCTCCTGAGATGAAGAAAGTTTTTTTTCAAGGAAATCAAATACATCGTCAAGCGGGACATTATTGAACAGGGAATATACATCGAAACTCACTAATTTCTTACCGTGCGTCGGCAAATTTCGAACCTTATCCATGAAATCCATAGAATGCTTGATATGACTATCAGAAAATGATCCCATAAAAGGAGATAGAACGCTCGTTAGCCAAGAGTCTAAAGGACGGGTAACTGAGTTACAAGACGAGATAATAGGCCTTAACGGGACGCCCTGTTTGTGAGTATTGGGAAGGCCATAAAAATACGGAATGGGGTCAAGACATTTAGCAGCAATACGCCTCAGGTTTTTACGAAACGATAGCGTGACTAATGGGTAAGGGTTAGAGCGCAGTTTTTGATACGTTGTATCCATTTTTGGCTTATTATTCGTCTGAAGAGGAACTCGTGAAGAGTTCGAAACGTTACGGTTTAATTTAATTTAAGTTTTCTTTTCATCTCTGTGTACACGTTACTGTGTTTGTGTTTGTGTCATGTATATATATACATATATATATATATATATATATATATATATATATATATATATATATATATTATATATATATATGCATACATGCATACATATATATATAAGTATATATCTATATCTATCTATATATATATATACATATATATATATATATATATATATATATATATATATATATATATGCATATATATATATATATGCACTTATATATGTATATATATACATATACATGTATATATGTATATACTACATGTATATATGTATATATATATATATATATATACATATACATGTATATATGTATATATATACATATACATGTATACATGTATATATATACATATACATGTATATGTATATATATATATATATATATAAATATATATGTGAATACATATATATAAATATATATATAAATGTGTGTGTGAGAGAGAGAGAGAGTGTGTGTGAGTGCGTGTGTGCGCGCGTGCGTGTGTATGTGTGTGTGTGTGTGACTGCTGCGATGGCCCAGTGGTTACAGCACTGGACTCCGACGCTCAGGGTCTCGAGTTCAATTTCCTGCCGCGATAGTCGTAAAAAAAAATAAACGTGTATCAAAGTGGGCATGGCATCTTTTCTTGCCACGTGGAGCGAATGGGTTAAGTCACATATATACATATACCAATATATTACATATATATACACATGTATACATAAACATACACACACACACACACACATATATATATATATAGATAGATAGATAGATAGATAGATATGTATATGTATATATATATATATATATATATATATATATATATACATACACACACATATATATATATATATTGTATTTTGAAAAGCTCTGTGATAATCTAAAAATATGTGATATTCACAATAAGATCTTCACTAATGTCACCAATATCATAACAACTTCAGCCAACAACACTTTCAGGAAATTCTTACTCCACAATCACCAGATATTGCTTAATATTCTGAATGACCCAAATAAATTTATGTGTAGCACTACTGAAATGTCCACTCACTTGTATCTCGAAGACAGACTGAAAAGACTCCTCCGGACCATTAAATCATCTTTTGGGGAAAGCACCTGTAATTTCCTATCAATCCCAATCTGGATTTCTGTATGGTCTCCCCAAAGTATAAAAACTTAACATTCCACTGAGAACCTTTATTTCATCTATTGGCACCTTTACTATAATACTGCTAAATTTCCATTATTTCTCCATTAACTACCAATCAGTATACGGTTGAAAATCCCACAGCCTTTACAAATGGAACCCCCTAACTGCTTGCTCGTTGCTGTCGTAGGGGGCCTTAGGACACGGAAACTACCTTGGACCTCAGCCCTCCCCTCAAATGATTTTGCATGGTCTTTTCGTCTCCCCCTTTCATTTCCTTCTCTTCTTCACCATCCCCTTCTATTCACTTCCAAAGGTGTGAAAGCCGTGCTGAAAGGATGAAAGGCCAGTTTTATGTCAATCATCAACGGCCTCTGGGAGTCATGGGCACGGTACATCCTTGGTTAATTGTCTACCCCTTACCCTCATGAGGTACCCCTGAGGGGTAGGCCGTTTCCTCTCCCCATTTAGATAATGTTTTACCCTTATTAGAGGCATCAAGGCTTGGCCCATCATTAACTAGCCTATCTAAATTTGATTTCATTGGTTTCCCAACCCTTGCCTCCCCTTTGACCACGGCTCTGAATGATACTAATTCCCCCTCCTCGATATTTACGGTCAATCCTATCCATTCAGAATTATCCACACAGGTCATTACTTATCCTTCAGAATACACCCTTTCCACTCTCCATACATCCTCCACTCGACAGTCTTCTTCATTGTCTATCTCCACCCCCTTATTGCTACTCTTCATCCTTATTGTCCTCCTCCCAACATTACTACCACTCTCCATACCACCCCATCTTTCTTTTGCTCTCGTTCTACTGTTTCCACGTCCACAGACCTTTTGGGTATCCTTTCGGCCCAGCCAAGGGGGGTCAATTCTTTGTGATTCCCCCTACAACCTCAAACTCTGACAATACCCTTCTCTTCCAACAACATCTCCAAAAACAGGTAGGTAAAGTTTTCTTTTGCAGTCGTTCTGATCGTTCACGCCTTGTCACAGTAACATCTGAGTCCCAAGCTCGTGCTGTATCTAACCTGTCTGACCTCACCGGAAAACCTATTCCTGCCCAACCTAACTCCTCCATTAATACTTGTACCAGTACTATTTCTGTTTACGACAAGGACTGGTCAAGGACTGGTGAAACCGACTTGCTCGCATGCTTCATCGACTACACTATTACTCCCAGAGGCCAATCTAAGTCATACACCAAAATTGCCAAGATTAGATTCCGAAGACATGACCTTCCCCATGAAGTTTATATTGATGGAGTGTCCTGCCCAGTCCAACCATATTGACCTCTTCCTCGACAATGTCAGATGTTGCTGACTGGGTGGCCATTCTGTACATATATGATATGTATAATATATATATATGATATATAATATATATAGTATATATATATATATATCTATGTATTCATTTATCTTTTTATACACACAAACACATATCTGTGTGTGTATGTATATGTATATATATATACATACATATATATACATATATATATATATATATATATATATATTTACGTGTGTATGTGTGTGTGTATGTATGTGCGTGTGTGTGTGTGTGCATATTTATGTATATGTATATATGTATATGTATATGTGTATATATATATGTATATAGATATAAATGCTTACATAAATACAAATATATCAAATACCATATATACATATATAGACATGTAATTATATATTTAAATATACATATATATGTGTGTGTATACATATATATATAAATATATATATGTATGTATACGTATATAATATATGTATATATGCATATATATGTATATATGTGTATATATATTTATATTATATTATATATATATACTTGATTTACATATTACGAGTGTGAGTAAATGCAGAATGTAGGAAAAACACAGTGTCCTTACCGTTCTGCGGTTAAAAGTTCCATGACTGGTTTCTGCCTTCGTTTGCTTCTGGAGCCACCAGGCTGTCCGTGCATGCCCTCGGGTGTGAGCTGTGTCTTCTGCCAAAAGCCCCAAGTTGTTTTCGACGGCGATAAGGTTAGGCTGAATCCCTACCAGAATCTGGGCGGAGTCCAACCTTCCGTATAAAGAGGCTGCATGAAGAACAGTGTTCCCGTTATTTGCGCGGATATGCAAGTCTGCCCCGGATCTTGCAAGTTTTTCCACCACTGAGGTGTGTCCTCCTCTGACAGCGATGTGTAGTGCTGTATAACCATATGCATTAACTGCGTTTACGTCTGCTCCAGCTTCGATGAGCTTTTGAACTATTTCCGTAAATCCTTTAAAAGAAGCACAATGTAAAGGTGTTTGGCCGGAGTCATTGGAAAGATTAGGGTTAGCATGCTTTTCCAACAACAAATTCACTACTTTAATATGTCCACCTAAACACGCGTAGTTGAGCGGTGTATTCGCTGCTTCCTGGCCGCTTCTTTGGGATCTTCTCAACGCTGGATCTTTCCTGATTGTATATGTCTTCTGTAAATAGGTAAATAATAATGATATATAAGACTTAGGCTTTACATACATTTTCATGTACATGTATATAAATATCTAAGAACAAAAATTAAAAAACTACAAATAGAATTAAGATTCTATATATATGCATAAATAAATAAATATATATATATATATATATATATATATATATATATATATACAATATTAACTCTATACACATATATATAAAAAAATAGATAAACAAATATATAGATACATATATATATATATATATATATATATATATATATATATATATATATAATATAAAGATATATAAATATATGTGTGTTTATATATATATATGTATGTGTGTGTGCGTGTGTGTGTGTGTGTGTGTGTGTGTGTGTGTGTGTGTGTGTGTGTGTGTGTGTGTGTGTGTGTGTGTGTGTGTGTGTGTGTGTGCGCGCGCGCGCGTGTGTGTGTGTGTATATATAAATATGAATATATATATATATATATATATATATATATATATATATATATATCACGAACACACACATTTATATGTGTGTACACATGTATATATATAAATATATACATATATTTATAAATGTGTGTGTGTGTGTGTGCACATATATGTATATATGTATATATATATGTATATATATGTATGTGTATATGTGTGTGTGTGTGTGTGTGTGTGTGTGTGTGTGTGTGTGCGTGCGTGCGTGCGTGTGTGCGTGCGTGTATGTGTGCGTGTGCGTGAGTGTGTATACTATATATGTATGCATATATGCATACATCTACATATATATACATATATATGTATATATATAATCCTTATATAAATATAAACAATATATGAACAACTTATGTATATAAACAATATACATAAATATTATTTACATACATATATGTAATATGTATATGTATGAATACATATATATGTATATGGGTAAGCGATATATATATGTGTATGCATCTGTGTGTGTGTTCGTACACATATATAAAGTATATACATACATACATACATACATACCCACTGCACACGCACACACATATACATATATATATACACACACACACACACACACACACACACACACACACACACACACACACACACACACACACACACACACACATATATATATAAAATAGTTGCAATGATAATGACACTGCGATTACAAATGGCTGCACTGACTTTGTATTCACTGATATGAGTGAATTATACCTTTGCCTTTCATCGGTTGGGATTAATCAGCATAAATTGTCATAAACCCCTCCAGCGTCTTGTTATGCTTTGCTCTACCTCTGCCTCTTCAAATGAAAGCGTATTCGTGACCAGACGCACATACCTTTTTGAAGAATTCTTTTACTTTTTTAATCATGTCTACCTTTTGTAGAAAACCGTTGGGGTCAGCTCCGGCATCCAGAAGGACCTTGGCCATCCGAAAGTTGCCATTCGCTGAGACGTAGTAGAGAAGAGTGTCTCTAACTGCAACATCTGCTCCCGAATCGATGCACTCCCTGGCAGCTTGGGTATCGCCCTTCCGTACAGCAGACCACAGCTTGCTCGCAAGATCGCTCTCCATTTTCTTGGTTGAAAATTACCCAGTATCATTTGATGTAAGTGATACTTAGACAGCTATTTCCACACACTGACAGAGAACCTGAAACAAAAACAGTTCACATATTAATACGATTCAGTGATCATAATCCACTGTGAGTTGAGAGAACACCAAATTCTTTTCCTGTGCGGAGGTAACAATCGACAACTATTTCACGCGTCGAGAACTGATATTTTGTTTTTGTTTTAAAGGATTATATGAAACCAACTTTTTCCCTTTGTCTGCATATTGATCCCAGTATTTGCTATATATCTACATACATGTAACTTTTTCTAAAGCTATCTTTATATATAGCCATATCCATATCTCTAATTTTATATTACCTCTGTGTCCTTATTCGTTGCGTGTGCGTTTATCTCACACATGATATAAACCTTTACAAATGAGCTCTTAAGCAAAATACAAAACAATTTTTGGATAGTTATATGGAGGCATATCGGCAAGAGATGTATTTTCACTCTCCTAACGTAGTGATGCGATTTGATAACTTTAGATTTAGCTTAATGCATTTGCAAAATTGCTGTAATATGCCTTTGTCAGTTAGTTCCAGAGATAATTTTGCAAGATGTGAGGAAAAAATCGGCAACCTCAGTAAATTTAATCTTTAGATTTACGTGAATATATCATTCACCTTTTATAAACAACCGTCCCCCTTCTTTTTTCCTAAAAATGGAGAGAGAGAAAGAGGAGGGAGAGAGGGAGGAAGCAGACAGGGAGATCGGGGCAGGACTCTGAGGATGGCTTTAGAGTAAGGGGAGCGGCTTGTGTCCATTCCATTCAAAGTGGATTAAGGTTATTGCAAGTGACTGTGCACAAGAAATCAAAGTTTTTTTATCTTATGAGATCTCACTTCTATAAGATGTACTCGTGAAGTTTTCATGTGGTTTATATATGTATTAATTAAGGATTATATCGATCTTGTATTCGCACTGTTTACCTTAAATATTTAGTGTTTTTTAAACTTGGCTGAAACTTTTCTGATTTTTTATGACATTTTACTGCAAAGCTGTGTCCTCTTTCGCGAGAAACACTGAAGTCATTGTCTGCTTTTATATCACAGGGAACGAATCAATAGAATCTAAAACTTCAATGAAAAATGATCACTGATTAACCTTTTCTCAAACATAACTTTCAATGAAAGTAGTTATTAGTTGATTAAAATATCTAATAGTTATGGATACTATACATTATGTACAGTATATAGTCAAATCTAATTCAGGATATGCTATACACATGCTAATTCACTTGCTAAAATATAAGCACGGCTAGGTTTCTCCGGGTAAAAAAATAAATACAACAGAAACGAGGTGTTTTCAGGCTAAATGGACGGAGTTTAAACGATGACGGGAAATGACCCAATGCGTTGCCGAAAAACTGAACGGCTCTCCCAGGCGTTGGGGAAAATCCAACGCGTTGGTGTTTGTTCTTGATGCACCAATTAATAGACCTTGATGTGGGGAGCCCGGCCAGGGTCGATTAATGCCGACTCGCTAACGTGTGTCAGCTGGTGCTGCATCGACTGAGCTTAGTCCTTACCCGCCGTAGTGCCCAGCCACAGCGGCAACTTACAGGCGACAATTGCAACTTCTTGCGCCTGGGTGGGACGCAAACCGCCGAAGAAAGGCCGACACGTTCATGTTGTGGTCACGGAAACGCTGTGAAAGAAGCTTGCAGTTGGTCTGCCACGGTCCGCGTGTAGATGATGACATCGTCCATGAGGATTTCGACGCCGGGGATGTCGTCGAGAAAGGTCTTAGGCCTTGGTCGCCGGGAATCGTACTCTGTGGTCCCGTTGCCTCCGGTGTTCGTCGCCCTTCAAACCCCTTCTCGCTCTTCTAGACCCGCGTATCACACGTTCTTTAATGCACATATTTTGCAATGTTTCGAGAAAGAAATGTTGCACCTTCAGCTTATGATGACTAGTCCGTCCATCTCCATATTAAAAGCACCAGTGCCATTGCTGCATCGCCACCGTACAAACTATAGACAGCCACCAAATTTTCCGCGATAATGTTGTGTTAAAACTACACACGAGGTAATCGTTATCTTCTTAATGTTAGTCGGCTGATGTGGCCTGTAGCCCACGCTGGACGATGAATGCGGTGCGCTCACATCCCACCCCCCTTACTTTGCTATTAAGATCCACTTTGATTTCATTCCATATCATCATTTACTTAGACTTTCGGCATAGCTTTCCCGAAATACGAGTGATAAAACACCACTCAAATTCGCCATCAGTTTCATTCTCTGCGAAGTTTCAGTGTAGCACGCAAAGAAACCACAGAATTAATTATATACAGAACATTCTTTCAAAAAGCCACGAGACCAATTCTGTAGTTCCGCAACGTAACGTAATGTATTAATTCCAAACAGCGGGTATTTTATATTTACAATCGTTATCAATATCATTGTAGCTATTGATAGTAATATAATCATTGTTAATTTATGTTATTGTGGTTCTTGTTGTTGTTTTGGTTAATTTTGGTTAATTTCATTATCATTATGATTCTTGTTATGATCATTATCATATTCATTTTTTCATACTATTCTTATTCTTGTTGTTGGTACTATTGTTATCATCGTTATTTTTTTTCTATCATTATTATTATTGTTATTTTTATTGTTATTATGGTAGTAGTAGTATTGTTGTTATTATTCTTCCCATCCAATTATAACTATAATGATCCTGAACATTTTCATCATCTTCATTGCTATTATCATTACTGTTATTTTTATCTATAATTTTTATTATCATCATCATTATCATCATCTTATAGCAATGATAATGACAATTATAATGATAACAAAATCAATAATAATAGCAGTAACAATAATAGTGATAATGATGATAATAATGATAATGATAATGATAATGGTAATAGTCATAGTGGTGATTATAAGGATAATGATAATAAAAATGAATATTATTATCATTATTATTATTGTCATGTTTTAGGCCGCAAACATTATCATTGTTATTATCATTATTATTAAACACTGACACACCTATGTAAATACAAATTTTGCAGCAGTCTTTTCCACTTGGCTAAACAACAATTCAGAGTTGCCCAATCGGTCGTCTCTTACTTTACGTCGCTGAGGACTTCTACTGCACACTTTATGTTCACTTATTACACCCAAATGCAGGAAAGCACTCAGCACGGAACCGCGTCAGGGCTGGCCCGTTATCTTCACCGGGGATCATCTGATATTGTGCCTTAAAAATAAGATTATGTATTTCTTCGAGAAGGGATCATATATCAAATACACACAACCACTAATACATGTACGTTTGTGTGTGTATGCTTTTGTGTGCATCAATATATAAAGTATATGCAAATATATATATGTGTGTGTGTGTGTGTCTGTGTTCATATACATATATATGCATATATGTGTGCACATATGCATATTTATACACATACAAACATGTATGTGAATATATCTATATATACATATAAATATACATTATATCTGTATATCTATATAGATATATATACATACTGTATGTGTCTGTATGTGTGCATATATATATATATATATATATATATATATATATATATATATATATATATATATATATATCTGGTTAATGCACACACACACACCTTGCACCTTGCACCTCCAGATCTAATGTACTGGAGGTGGAGGTCCAGCCAAACATAGGGGTATTACCAATGATAACGAACTGAAAGACCCAAGTCCTACCATGGAGTGAATGACTGTTGAATAATATATATGTGAGTGTGTGCATATGTATAAATATGTATATATATATGTATATATATATATATATATATATATATATATATATATATATATATGTGTGTGTGTGTGTGTGTGTGTGTATATATATATGTATATATATATATATATATATATATATATATATATATATATATATATATATATATATGATATGTATGTAACTACTATCGTATACCCAGCCACAGTGGATATACGTGGCTGATGATAACACTAGGGAGGTATACAAATGACTCGTGCTTCTGTAATTGACATACCAGTCTTTGGATAGTTATATAGAGACATACTTGCCAGAGGCATATTTTCAATTCCCTAATGTAGTAATGCAATAGGATAACTTTAAATTTAGTTTTGTTAGGTTTATATTTGTTATAACTATAAGGCTTAATAAATGCATTTGCAGAATTGTTATAATAATTATCGATTAGTTTCAGAGAAAAAAAAATGTGAGGATGCACTTCTCCAATGAACTGTACTTGCATAGTTCTCATAGGGTTATACATGCAGCTCCTGTGATACTTTTTTATGAAATAAAATCTACAACAAAGCTACCATTTCTTTCACGAGAAATCCTGAAATCATTATCAGCAGATTTTCTTTAAAATCACAAGATGCGGTTCAGTAAACTGCTTTGTTTCTTTTCAAGCATACCTCTCAATTGAAATAAATAATTGGCTGATTAAAATGTCAAATATTTCTGCGTATTATAAATTATAATGCTGATTTACTTGCTAGCTGAGACCTCGGACAGAAGTGTAGTACTTGAAATTAGCTTATTTTTAGTTAATCGCCACAGAAAACCAACGCTCAATCACGGATGTCAAATCTCTAACATCTATGTAAACACTGACACACCTATATAATTAAAAATTTTGCAGCAGTCATTTCCACTTAACTAAACAACAATTCAGAGTTGCCCAATCGGTCGTTCCTTACTTTACGTCGCTGAGGACTTCTACTGCACACTTTATGTTCACTTATTACACTCAAATGCAGGAAAGCACTCAGCACGGAACCGCGTCAGGGCTGCCCCGCTATCTTCATCGGGGATCATCTGATATTGTGCCTTAAAAATATCATGTATTTTTTCTTGAAGGGATCATATATCAGGGGTGCAAGTATGACACATTAATGTGTACAGAAAGATGAAGAGGAAAACAGCCACAGTATGAAATGAAGAGTACGTCACGATTTATTTTAATTTCTTACTTTTCACACACACACACACACACATATATACTTATACATATATATACATATATATACATGTGTATATGCATGTATATATGCATGTATATATACATACATATACATACATATTTATTGATATATATTTATATATGTATTTGTGTGTGTGTTTGTTGTTTGTCTGTGTGTGTGCATTATTATCTTTCACAGTGGTTTATCTTAGCTTAGCTTAATCTCTGATTGATAAATAAATCATTTCTCTCGCTCGTTCCATGCCTCTGTTATCTATCTATTTATCTATCTATTTATCTATCTGTTTATATATGTATATATGTATATGTATATGTGTGTATGTGTGTGTGCATGTATATATGTGTTCATGTATATGTGTGAATATATATATATATATATATATATATATATATATATACATATAGATATATATTCATATATATGTATATGTGTTTTTATATATGCATATATATATACATATATATAAGAATGTACTGTTTATTTAGATAAAAAAATATTTATATATGAATATATATATATAAGTATATATATGTAAATGTATGTATATGTGTATATAGACATATATATACATATGTATATATGTATGCACACACATACACACACACACACACACACACACACACACACACACACACACACATACACACACACTCACTCACTCACTCACTCACACATTAACTTCACTTGGCAAGCCATATCGAATAAGATTTGAGCGGCACCAAAGGGGCAGGATGCAGAAAATAAAGCAATTTACTGGTCTCTCTGCTTACTATTATGAAGTCCAGTAACGGGTTTTGTATTTCGTCTTACTAATGTTGCAAAACATTTATATATATATATATATATATATATATATATATATATATATATATATATATATATATATATATATGTACATATGTATATATGCACTATTGTTATCAAAAGTTTACACATAATTAAGATTTACCGTTGTTCATAGCTGTCTCATAAACATTAGAACCGCAGTTTACAATCTCCGATGTTTACATATAATAACCAACGTTTGATCTGCCTCCTCAATACCATTCATTAACTCTATGTCAACAATTTTCGCTCGTGTCGTGTCGCCCCGCCATGCATACTACAAGGATAAATTCATTCAGTAGCAGCTCTGACTCGTGATCACTCGTGTTTGTATTGTAAAATCATTTCACTTATATACTTCATTGACCCAAACTCGCACACATATAATAACGAGGAAGAAAAGGCGCATGGGTTTGCAATGACGAAAATAGATTAACAGATATGCATCTGTGTTAGAGCTAGAGAGAGAGAGATATGGAGATAGGGGTAAATCAGTATGGGTATTTCGCCGTTGAGATAAGATTAACGGAATAACGTATTTTTGTCAACTGGTTCAGTGTGTGGTCAGAGTTTTGAATATAAAGAGGTAAGAAGCTGTACTGAATTCCATATTTTCTGCGCGCTTGTTTGAGATCGATTGTGATGGCCAAGCAGATGCTGGTGTTTCGTTCCAAATTTTGTGTTAATGTTTCCCACAACCAGCTTGATTTTTAAATAAAATGGGTAAACGATTTTTTTCTATCACTTGATTCTCTGCAGTGTTCTAATCACAACTAGCATAAGAAGCCTTTTCTTAACCCACTGTGCTAAGATGTCATGGCGTACATCACATATACTGCACATGCCATGTCAACTGCGATTTTTGTTTATCAATTGTGTTTACAAGCAGATGACTCGACAAGTAACTAGCCTCTCAAGGAGTCTACGCGTTCTACCAATCTCACGTGTTTACCCTTTTCCTTGATTTTTGGAAAGATTCTTCTTTAATTTTTCACAGATATTAGTATTTGAATAACGTAACAACCGTAATATCTATGATACGTTAACAATTTAATAACCTTAAAACAAAAACATTTTCCCCGAATGTTCAACGAATGGGAAAATAGGTGAAGTCACGGTAGGCTACGTATTTCCAGTGGACACTACATGCACCCAAGGTTTCTACAAGTACTTATAGAAGTACTTATATAGACCGTATAGGCATTTACCCACATACACAAGGATTAGCTCACTGGGTGCGGGCATTTTCTTACGCTATTAATGTCGATACTGTTATTATTATTGACATTATGATTACTGTAATGTTATCAAAATTCTTTCTTTGTTGTATTTCTTGGCTATCAACCAGCGGCCAAGGTTATTAAGCCAACGGATCCTATTTATTCTATGAATCTATATAAGATCATGAAGTTCTGTCACCCTTAGAAAAGTGATTACTTTACTGATGATTTTTTCATCGTTTGATAGAAGATTTTATTTTGTAAAATCTTTATTTTTCATTCTTAGATAATTTCTGAGTGGAGGTCTATTGATATTGTATTTTGGGCATATTGTTGATATATGGTCTATGGTGAGGATGGTGGTGCATTGAGGGCACTCAATAGGGAGTGACGTTGGTGATTCTGGTGGCATTAACCCTGAGACGGGCCAAAAGCACCTCCTCCCTTCTTACTTTCCTGTGGGATGCATCCCACAGTTCTATTGTTGTTTTATGTTTGTTGTTTATTTGTAGGTTGGTCCACTCACTTTGTCAAAGGAGATTTATTTTTGCTTTTATAAGAGACACCTGAGATCTATACGAACTATGTTAACGTCCAGATCGGCTAATTTGCCAGCCTGTTCATTGCCATGGATACAAGAGTGGCCTGGCACACATATTAGCTTGATTGATTTGTTGGCACCATGTAACTTACGAATGATATTACCCAGCAGTTCATTCTTAGTGGTTTCTAATGATTTAATAGCTTTAAGTGAACTTAATGAATCTGAAAAAATAACTATTCTATCTTGGGTCGTCGAAAGTGCAAAATCGATATCTTTATTAATGGCAAAAAGTTCAGCAAGAAAGATTGATGTATGATTCGGCAGTCTGAACTTTAGTTCACATTCAGTCGACAATACACCCGCACCCACACACTCATCTCTCTTAGAGCCATCGGTATATATATATGAGAAAAAAGGGAGATGTTTAATAAGGATCTCTCTCAACCTCTGGCGTACCTCCACTTCCGACGCCATGGCCTTGGCTGATGGAAGCCAGGCTTCCATGATGCAAAAGTTGGAGGTTTCCCATGGCGCTATATTTGAATGAACCAGGGTATCAATGGTAGAGAGATCTATACCGATTTTCTCGACGAGGTCGTGGAGTCTCGTGGCAAAGGGCCTAGTGCCTCCATTGCCATTTGGGTGGTTCGGGTCTCGAGCCACCTTCGCGGCATAGCTCAGGGCTAACTGGCCGCGTCTGAGTCAGAGGGGAGGTACTCCTGACTCCACCTCAAGACGCTCGATCCGAGTACATTTCAGGGCTCCAACACGCACACGCAAACAAGCATTCTGCACAGCATCCAAACCTTTCAAACTAGTTTTCGATGCCGAACCATACACGATTGACCCATAATCTACTTTAGACCTAATCAAGGCTTTATATATCATTAGTAAAGACGTTCTTTTAGCTCCCCATGTATTACCAGAAATGCACTTTAACCCAATGGTGCCGGGGAAAATGAACAAAAAATGGGGAAAATATTGTGGCCACTTTCTATGTTTTTCGTGAAATGTCTGCCGATAGATGGCTCTGCTAGCGCCTGATTTAAATGGCGGGAAAAACGTATTTTTCACTAGTGCTATGAAAATCGATGGTGTTATTTTTATCATAGGCATTATAATTTTTATAATTTTTTTTAACATTAGTAACAGCAAAATAAGATAACGTAAAATATTTCGTAAATCAAAGAAACGGGTAAACGGCCGAGACGGGCGGTGCTCGTAACTGGTTCATTGGTGATTTAGTACAAGTGTTGCCATCTATGCGTAAAAACAATCAAACAAGTACTCACTGTGGGCATAGCACGTACGTACACGTCATACCCGGCACCAAGGGGTTAATAGATTTAGTGCTCTTTGACATTTATTCTTTAACTGACCAATGTGGTCTTTCCAATTGAGTATACTATCAAAGAGTAGACCAAGAAATTTAGCAAAAATTATAATAGGTATTGAGTGGTTGTCTAATCAAAATACTAATAGCATCGGCAAGACAGCATTCCGAAAATCAAGAAAAGGCTAAAGAGGCGAGATAGGTCCAACTAGTAACTTACTCCTTGGTGACTAGGTACGTTTAGGCACGACCAATACACTAAAATCACAAGGAACGATGTCCACTGTGACTTACTTGGATGCCATGATACCCATGTGCCATCCCAGCATATGAGTTAATCCCTAAATACCCAAGGCCTCTGGATAGAGAAGTCGAGACGTACGGCCGATATATTAAAATCATGGAGTCCCGATCCGATGAATATTCATAACTAGGGACATGCATATACACAGAAATAAATGCATATCAGTCTATCTTAAAGATATATATATCTGGTGGATATGTAAGTTTAGATTGATAGATATGCATTTATTTGTGTGTATAGGCATGTATTATGAATATTCATTATACGTGTACTGAATATTGCTGAATAATAGTTTAAATAACACAGATATCAGTGTTGATATGCTAGGCTCTCGCTCCCAGATAACAACTCCTTATCACCGGCTTCAAGGAACCACGGGATTATAACCTCTCTCTCTCTCTCTCTCTCTCTCTCTCTCTCTCTCTCTCTCTCTCTCTCTCTCTCTCTCTCTCTCTCTCTCTCTCTCTCTCTCTCCTCCCCTCGCTCTCTTTCTCCCCCTGCCTTTCTCTCTCTTCTCTCTCTCTCTCTCTCTCTCTCTCTCTCTCTCTCTCTCTCTCTCTCTCTCTCTCTCCTCTCTCTCTCTCCTCTCTCTCTCTCTCTCTCTCTCTCCACCCCCTCCCTCTCTCTCTTCTCTCTCTCCCTCTCTCTCTCTCTCTTCATTAGACTGATTTTGCAATATATCATATACATATGTTTGTGTGTGTGTGTGTGTGTGTGTGTGTGTGTGAGTGCCTGTGCATGCGCGTGTGTGTGTGTGTGTGTGTATGTGTCTTTGTGTGTGTGTGTGTGTGTGTGTGTGTGTGTGTGTGTGTGTGTGTGTGTGTGTATGTGTGTGTGTGTGTGTGCATACACATACACGGGTACACACACACACACACACACATATACAACCCCCATCCCGGTTCTCGCTCACACTGTTACACATTTATCTTATCTAATCCCTGATAACATGGCTACTGTAAAAAAAAAAAATAATAATTTCTAACGAAGCAAAATGACAAAGTAAACTATTTGATATCATTCGGTGTTGTAAATGTGTGATAATTTCTCTCATTATGAAGATAATGAGGTTTGAAATATATGGCTTCCCTACATTAAATCAAGAGAGTGAGGGGGTGGAGAGAGAGAGAGAGAGAGAGAGAGAGAGAGAGAGAGAGAGAGAGAGAGAGAGAGAGAGAGAGAGAGAGAGAGGTGGGTGGAGAAAAAGAGAGAAAGACAGACATGTGTGCGTGCGCGCGCTTATCTCTTATCACTTGGCTGACGCCGACGGTGGCCACATAGCCCCACCCACCTTAAGCTTCCACCCGAGAGGGTCCCTCAAGGCGAGCCTCCGGGCGGGTCCTCAGCCCACCTCTAACTGTTCGCCTGAACTATGACTCCCTTGGTCGTCCTTGGCTTTCACCAGGAGACAACTTGAAAGGCCTACTCGCCCTCAGGGGGAAGAACTGGGAGGCCGGATAGCCAGAGTTGACGGTCCCGAATAGTGCAAGTAATAGGTCCTACGCCGGTCTCATGGTGTGACCGTTGGCAATATCAGGGCGTTGAGGACCCGTATGTTGATCCTTCTGTCCTGATAACGTCGTCTTCAAATACTCTTGTCGAAAGAGATCGTAATCCCCGGCCAATACGTCTACTGAGTCATCAACAATACTACCAACTAAAGCTCTCTGTGACTTCTTTATTCTCGCCACAAGCACTTATCGGCGGAGAGTTTCTCCTCTAGACCCAAGGATTTTGCTTCATTGTTAAATGCATCTAGAGTCAGCGAAACCAAGGTCGGTGACCTTGATATTGCCCAGTGTTGCTATTTTAGGCAGTAGCTCTGCCCACAATCCAGTCTACGGAGGCGTTGTGTGAGATTATACAGCATATATATAGGTATATGTATATATATATATATATATATATATATATATATATATATATATATATATATATATGTACATATATATATACATATATATACATATATATCCATATATACATATACATACATATATATCCACATACATATATATATATATATATATATATATATATATATATATATATATATATGCATATATATACATATATACGATTATAGATACATGCATATATAAACATATATGCACGTACGTATTTTTTGCGTGGAACGTAGCGAAGAGCATTCGTAAATCTCGTGATGAAATAAAAACCTGTGCATTAAGCAGAAGTAAAATGAAAGTAAAAGCAAAGCTAAACCTATAAAACATGTACGTAGAGTTAGATGAAAATGATAAAAAAGGTAAGAATGAAACAAGAGGACAATTGGCCGGCCAAAAGAACGCAATGTAGATGGTTAACTGTTGGTAGAGACATTTTCGTGGAGCGTTTAAGAGAACAAGCATATAAC